CAAAGAACATAACACAACAAGCAACTACGTGTATCTTTCTTTTTTCTCTTACAGAGCAGAACACAACTGAGCAGGAGCAGAGCAGAGGCCAGCAGAACATAAAACATCAAAAAAATTAAAATAAGCTTTTGTTACTGTAAATCCTCTGTCTACCCCCTGTCCCTCCCCCCCCCGGCCATTTCAACTGACTCTCCCACTATAAATTACTCTCCTCTCCCCCCTTATTATTAATCAAAAAATAAGTTGTTCACTATATTAAATATTATTCATGACTAAATACTCCATGTGAACCTATCTGATATGGTTAGTGCTGGAATGTCAGTTTTGCCTCAAAATTGCTCCCAGGGTACTGTTAAAGCATTAAGGATAATTTGTCAAAAAAAAAGAAGAAGAAGAAGAAGACAACTGTAAATAACAAAAGAAAAAAAATTGACGAAGTTGAGTGGTTTCTTTTCATATTATATAAATATTCAGGGATGTGCTCTAGCAATACCCAAAAGCCCCTGGCACCCTCTTTTTGCTCTTGAGCAATGGGGAAATCACTCTGGATTTCACAGGTTCAGAGCTCTGGGTTTCCCTTCAATATAAACTAGAGCACAGCCTTGTTACAATAATCACACTAATTATTATGGTATGTGGATTTTTCAATACTATTTTTAAAAATGTATAAGCTTTGATAGAAAATCATATCGGTTACAGTACAAATCTGCGTGTAAGAACCTACACGCTATAAAGTCTATAAAGGAAATTGAGTTTGGTGCCTTTTAGCAACGTTCATGAAGACAATTACAATCTGTAGTTTTTATAACCCTGTTTTTGTTCTGGAATTACAAGACTCACAGTGGTACAGTTTGGTACAGTATTTTCTTGTCTTCTCAATTTGCAAACTTCGAACTCCTTTTTTAAGAACCTGCTTGATTTCTTTCGTTTTTTGGGCTAAAAAGGTTGTCATATATTCAGTATATTTGTGAGTATTAGGATGGAAAATTTCCGCCAGAAAGTTCGTAAACCACTAGATTCTTGCATGTAGGTATTTTCTGAATGATAATCTTCCCAATCTTGTACTCCTTACAACTATTCCTGCTACTGCCAGAAAATAGGTAACCCTCTGCAACATGTACATTGAAAACACTAGAACATATTTCTTAGAAACGAGAAAAAATAATGTTGGGTTTACAGGCTGATCCAACGTGTTAACGCCCTTATGAGACCGCCAATACCGTTAGTACTGTCTATTCCTGAACTATAACAAGTCTTTTGATGATGTAAGATTTGTCAAGGTGGGAAATAAAAGTATTCATGTAGCTTGAGTGTCGGTAGAAAGATGACTCCGTTCCCAGAAACGGTGAGTGATCCAAGTGCAGTCGAGACGTCCTCGTCGAGTCTTGAATAGCCACCCCGTCTATTTACTACACTCTAAATCTGAAAGATCTGTTTTAGCCCTAAAAACAGGGCCGTTTCGGTGAGTAAAATACAGTCCTATTTTTGGGTCTAGTTTGGCTCCCTTAAATCAGGACCAATACAGTCCAATTAGCAAGGGCTGATTTGGTCCCAGGGCTGAAATGGGCCCTACCTTGGGCTGGAATAGCCTTTTGATAGAGCTTTTTTGGCCTAAATTGTGCTCAATTGGCTCCAAGAAGGGGTGAATCAGACTTTGGCCTGCAGGGCTGAATTGACACTTTGGGGCTGAAACAGATCTTTTTAATTTACAGTGTACGTTACCAGACAAGGTGAGTGATCCTGCACGTCTAACGTTTTGAATTGTCAGTGCGAATTAGATCGTCTCTCGGCAGTCTGCATCATAACAGTATTAACAAGAGACAAATCGCCTCTACCTATGGTTCAGAAGCCGCGAAAGTTTTATATTTATTGAATTTCCTATAAAACTTGGGATAAGCGAGTAAACTACTCGTTTCCCCAATTAGTATTGTTTATTTCAAATGCATGAGGCCTACTTTATAACATGAATTTCGGTAACATTCTATTCTATAATTCGAGTTACCCGTTGAAAAGGAAACTAATAGTTGATCATACTTATATGAGCAACCGACATCTACTCGTTTCTTTAATCAATATTGTCCATTTTCAGTGGTTTTATAATCAAGTATTATCTGAACTGATGAGTAAACGATTTCCAGAGTAACCTGTTGGATAGGAAACTCTAATACTACAACTGCTTACTACTACGCCGGTCTAATCGTATTTCCTATAACGTCTCATGAGCCACACATCAAACAACATCCAAAGTCAGGATGGTCTCATGAGCCACACTTATACTTGTACCTTCAACCAATATTGTCTATTGAACATTTGTCTATTTCATGTGTATGACCTACTTCATTAGTTATTAACTATGAATTTAGGAAAATTCTATTCTATAAATAAAGTTCCTTTTGGATAGGAAACTTTAATTACAAATACACATACCTACTGGGCTCTACTACACGACAGATTTGTCTTGGTAACAGGACTGAGTGACAACCAATTCGGTCTGTAATCATACGAGTGATTAACAAAATCGGGCGACCGCGCAGCGGGAGTCCGATTTGTTTAATCCCGAGTACTGTACTGTCCAGGCATGACGCGTATTGTTCTATTTAACTGGCCTATTAAGGCTGAAATCAGGGCAGTTGAGAGCCAATCAGATTTGAGAATTTTGTTATAGTGATGATTAAACGGTAAATCCTAAATGGACTTTTCATAAGCGACATATCTACTGGTATCTTCAGTCAATTTAGTCTATTTCGTCTGTAAGTATGTAAAATAAGAGTTGAGGCAAACCCTTCTTCGCGAGTAAGTTACCTATTACTGGCATAGGAAGTCTACTCGATTCCACCTTCTAACTGCTACGTGTATTCAATTGTATGTTCTACAACTTGTAAGCGCTATATCTACTACTACCTTTAATTCTAGTTATTAAAAAAGTAGTCTACTTCGTGTGTATGACCTTCTTCAGAAAAAGTTAACATCTAAATAAATGTAAAAAAAAAATGTAATTTATAACATAGCGCGCGTGCTTGCCCTATATAAGTCCTATTGAGCCGCTGTGAACAAAATCTTTATTTACGCACGCCCGTGCGTAAATAAGGTGACGTGAGCATTTTTTTTTTATCTGGCTGCAAAGTGCAGTTGTCTTCTTTTAAGCTGCAGTGCAGTTTTTCTTCTCTTTAAATATGGAAGAAACCAGCCAAGAACTGCACAATTTTTGTATCGGCATTGACCTGTTAGGTTCTGATCCAACTAGCAGCAAAAATAAAGCCGAATTTAAAAAAAACTCGCAAGTTGCGCGTTTCGCAAATTTGTCGGAAGACCAGCTGCAACAAAAAGAAAGACATTCACTGGGAACAGAACAGACACCAACTGGTCGTCAACAACTTTTAAGGGTAAAACTTCCGTTTTTAAATTTGTTACGCACTTTTGTTATCTCCGGACAATCCGACTGAAGCAGGAAAATTTATCTCGCAATAACAACACAAATTACACAAGAAGACATAAATTTATTACTCACAAAAACAACTGCTGTCAGGTCTTTTCAAGAAGCCGTAATGACCAGCCAATGCTCGTAAATGAATATAAGTTAGAAGGATGACGGTCGTCTTCGCTAAAAACATATTTTCTGGATTTCGCCGAGCAAAACGTAAACATCTTTTCAGCAAATCCAAACTATACTCCACGACTTCTTACGAACATGTTAGTATTTTAACTTTAGGTGAACTTTAAGACTCTTTTACCTTTGTTTCTGCTTAGTTTCCATTGATCGTTAACGAATGAAGAAGCAAATTTTCTTTCTCAGTTTTACAGAAAAAACATTTTCATTCAAACTAGACGATTGTGGCGTGTTCGTAATCAGCCAATAGAGCCGTTTGTTATTGTGTAGCGCTTTACGAGAATTTTGCAGTTAATCAAAAAGCAAGCATTTTTCAGAGGCATCCAACGAGAATATAGTTCAAAAGCACTTAAACATGGCATTGTTAAACGTGTTTTAGTATTTAAACGGTGGATATGGGCATATTTTTATCCCCTATAAATTTTTCACCTGTTCGGATTTCCTAGCTGAAAATCTAGTGATCTGAAAAAAATAGTAGGGATCAAAACTTACCTGTTCGAAAGTTTCAGCCAAGAAAAAGGCTCCCGAAAATTCTAGGTGACCTTTTTAGGGTAAAAATCCGTTGAAAATGGGCAATTTTACCATTTCTTAGATGTTCGAAAATCCTAGGAGAGGCAGGCAAGCAATAAATTTTACAACAAATGTTCCGAAAATTCTAGATCTCAAATTGTCTTCCGAACAGATATTTTTCCCGAAAATTGTCGTTGGGTGTCCCTGATTTTTGTCAGCTACGTTATAAAAGAATTTGCTCATGCTCTTAGCTGTGCGTATATCGAGTTATGGATGCACTTGGGAAGTTTGCAGAGCACTCAAGAAGCTAGAGTTGCACTCGGCTATCGCCTCGTGCAACTCTTACGCATCTTTCGTGCTCTCCAAACTTCCCGCGTGCATCCATAACTCGATATACGCACGCTAAGCATGAACAAATTCTTAAATTTTATGAGTAGCGTTTTGCATAATGTAGAAAAAGCTATTTACTTTCTTATTTTTCGTTAGTAAAATTCTCAGTTGTCTCAGCAAAAAAAAATCCTGATCTCACTATCATATAGAAAGCAAGCTTAGGTTATATAACTGACGTCTCAGTAATCTTCTTTAAGACCTAATTAACTTTTTAAAACAAGGCTAAACCAAACAAAGCACTAATTTGCTGTTACCCACAAAGGTAAATTCGAAACATACATACAGCTGTATGGCTTTTGGGCCTCATAACTAAAATTTTACAGAGCAGACCTCGCTATCTCTAATTAATATGCTGTTTGTTTTTAACCTGAGTAATAATCTTCTACTAACACTTTCATAAACTACATTGCCACAATACACGATTGGACAGCAGTAAAATTTTTTATCAATTCAATTCCATCTGCGAAAGTTTTCACAAGATATTTGATAGACATTACGTATTTCTCGATAGTTCATCGATTATCTTCTGCATGGTTGGTCTCGCTTCAAGATCTGTCTGCAGGCATCGCCGCACCAGGCCTCTTAACACGCGGCTCGTCATCAGCAAAACTTGCTCGTCACGCTTTTCAGGATTTGGAAGTTCCCGGATGCACATCTCGCACAATAAAACACCAAAGCTATAAACATCGACCTAAAAAAAATACGAAGAAAAATTGACTTTACCTTGAGAAAGCTTTGATACGCCTTCTACATTTTTATCCAGATTTCTTGCTTTGATGCTAAAAGACGATTTCATCTGAAGACACCATAAACGTATAAAGGATTTTCTGATTGAATCGGTAACATCCCCACCTCAGATAAGTTCCCTCAAACTCTGGCTCCGAAATACGGTACCAAAGCTTAAGTCACACAAAATGTTTTATATCTTTTAAAGAAACCTGGACCCTATAATCAGAGATGACCAACCTTGACTGTTTGGTTTGACGTTAGTGCTTCAGGAGCGCTGTAAATCATAGCTCCAGGAGCCACTGTCATGGTCTGCTGCATGAAATTAGCAGTGCCATAATCTGACACTTTGCCTCTCCATTGGTCACCTTGTCGCCACAACAGCACATTAGCACTGCTGACGTCACGATGAATGATGGGCGCTGGCTTTTTCTGATGAAGGTAGTTAAGCGCGCGGGATATATCCAGAGAAATGGTGCGTATTTCTATTTCGGAAAGTTGCCGCTGTGCCAATAAAGCTCGCAGGCTCGTCTCCATAAGCTCGGTCACAAACAGAGGAGTTCCCTCGTCATTTGTGGCGCCGATAAACTGTAACAAACAGGGATGCCGGCAAGCTGAAGCAATATTCATTTCTCTTTCAAATAGAAGCCTGTTGTGAGGAGACAGAATCAGTTCATGGATTTGCTTCACTGCTACAGTACAGCCACAGTAGGTGCCTTCATTGACACTTCCCCAGCCTCCCCTCCCTAGGCAATTCTCTGTCATCTGAATTTCATTGCGGGAAATGACCCAGTCGCATGTTTCCTGTCGTCGCTGTTCACTTATTGTTTGCTGGGCTAAAGAAATACTTAACTCCAGTTCATTCACTTCCTGGTCTTTCTCTCTCAATTGTCTTTCCAAGCAGGAAATCTGTTCTTGGGAGTTTTCAAATCGCTGTTGCACCTCCCTAAGCTGCCTTTGTGAGTTTTGCTGCATCTCCCTCAACTGTTTTTGCAAACTTTCTTCACGCTGCCGCATTTCCCTTAGCTGCCTTTGTGAGTTTTCTTCTCGTTGCTGCATCTCCCTTAGCTGCTTTTGTGAGTTTTCTTCACGCTGCCGCATTTCCCTTAGCTGCCTTTGTGAGTTTTCTTCACGTTCCTGCATCTCCCTGGGCTGAAAATCTAAATTTCCTTTGAGCTGCTGTCGTATTTTCCTTGATGGCCTCGGAAGGTTGTC